CACTTGACACGATCTTCTACATCATCTACGCTCACATCAGCTGTCTTCATTTCGCATTCAATAGCATCCCTCCATCTCTTTTTTGGTCTTCCTCTACCTCTTCTTCCTTCAACATTCATTTCTTTAAATGTTTTTAAATCTTCCGATTCTTCTCTCCTCATAACATGACCAAAGTATCTAAGTATAAATTCTCTCATCTTATCCACGATTGATTGGAAATAATGTTACCATTATCAACACTAAACACATACTCATACCCCGACTAGAAAAATCTCCCTCATATACCTCTAGTGACCTTATCACTTAGTGACATTATCACTAAGTAATATTGTCCAGTGGTGGCTCGTGGCTTGAATGACGAGGCGATCACACCCCCTACTAAAATTCATTAAAAGAAGAAAATTGATTGCATATTCTTAATTCTAAATTTTCATTAAAAATGCAAATTTTTAAATAGTTATAATACATTTGTCGTGTGTGAACATTAAAGTTGATTCCTTCAGTATGTTCAGGTACACTTGCACACACGAGCATTGTTTGGACGACCGGCAGCGTCGTCCATACGTTAAAATATTAGTATATTTCTATATTTGGTAATTTATTTTTAGAATTAACTTCTTGTCGTTATCGATTATTATAATAATATAATCGCTATTATTATTATTTTCATTTCTATTTTCTACTGTGACCTTTAAAATAATAATATATGTGTATTGTGTTTTATTTTATTATATTTAATTTGACAATTTTTTATACCTAAAACTTGCGGTATTATATTTAAAGTCGCACTTCCACCACCAGAACCCACAAGCCGCTACTAATATTATCACATTTTGCCAGTTAACTCAAGTTTAATAATGAATTTTTCAGTGGGCCAAGATCCCAATTAATTAAATTGTTTTAATTTTTAAACATTTCTATTGCCTCATCCCTTATATTAAGTTCTTTGTAATTATGTTTACGTTTTTAATTAGTTTTATGGTTTTAATGGCGTGATTATGTGTCAATAAATGTTCAGCCACTGGAGATTTTTCAACTTCTTGATTTTTAATGTTCCTTAAGTGCTCTTTTAACCTGACCTCTATATTTCTTTTTGTTTCTCCTACGTAACATTTATTACATTGTATTTTATAAATGCCTGATTTCCTCCCTTCTTCTATCTTATCGTTAGGATTACCTAATAAATCTCTTAAATTATTACTCTTAGATGTTACTAAAGTAATACTAAAATTTTTTAAAATTCTAGCTAGTGTATTTAAGATGATCGGATAATATAAAATGAATGATCTAATTACTTATTGTTCCCCTGCCCTAGTTAAAGTACTAGCTAGCCTCCTTTCTTTATTCTACTTATGTGTTCGGACTAAATTTGAAATTATGTTTTCGTTACACCCATTAAATTGAGCTATTTTTCTTATAAGCCCCAGTTTTTTATAAAAATCTATTTAATTCATCGGAATATTAATTAATCTGTAAACTATACTATTAAAAGCTGCCAATTCGTGTTGCCAGTTGTGGTTCGATTTGTTCCGAATGTACCTGAATGTGTGCGTTTTTTTTTTTGATAAATTTCAAAATTTAGTTCCTCCTCTACTCTTTCAACTAATAAATCCAAAAAAGGCAATTTTCCCTCTACTTTTTGTTCATATATGAATTTAATCGATGGGTAAAAAGAATTTAAATGTTGTATAAAGACCTCCATATTAAAGTCTTTATTTATTACTGCGAAAATATCATCTACATACCTAACACAAATTTTTAGAAAATCACCATAAGTTTGTTTTAAATTTTTTTCGTTAAAAAACTTGTCTTAAGAATTTCAGTTTATTCAATGGGTATCACAATGTTGTTTTTAACTAAATCGTCCCCTAGTTTTTAGAAACTGAAATTACCGGACTCTTATTAAAATTATTTATTTGGCCCTTACTTTTGTGTTCTAAAAGTAAATTTTGCAATTTTTTCTTTTAAATTTATGTTTAATCACTTGGTACATCTTCTATTCGAAGATTTCCCACTGTGATTGACTTAGAAAATTAGAAAGTTTTAAATGTAATTAATAAGCCCCCATTTGTAATCTGCCTCTATTACGATAATGATTTATTATTTCTAATTTAAGAAACTTCTCCTAAGCGATATTGATTGACTTGAAAAAATTAATATTATTATTGTTTGACTTACTTGGTAATCTTGCAAACTTCGGAGTCATATGGAACTTAATACACTTCATGAGAAAAAATATATCAGGCGTATTTTCGTCTTGGTCTGTATCAGTTTGATAACTCTATTATTTATTGTAAATACATGACCAATAAAACAAAAAATCAGATAACATTTTTTTAAATAAACGTATCAAGTTATTTCACTCGCGACTTTAATTTTTCTCGTTTATTTTTATTATGTTTTACTAATATAATGAATTATTTATAATTTTAATATTTAAAATTTTTTATTAAATATTCATACGCAAATAGAAATTTTTCAAATATATTTAAATTAAAATTCTATAACATTATATATTGTATATATTTATGTATACTCAAATGATGGATGTGGTTTATATATATCTCAATAGTTTTGATTATGTATAAAAATATGTAAAAATTTGTACTTAATTAGATAAATAATTTAGAAAGATACTTTTGGTTTGTATTTAGTGCAAAAAACTCTAGATTTTAATGTTATTATTATATTAAATATAGTAATGAAATAATAAAGTTCCTTTTATGGTCTTTTTTGGTTTAACAAAGGTTAGTAAAAAAACTTTTACCTTATATTGGTAAATTCTATAATGTATAAAATTATAATACTGTAAAAAATAATTTCATTTTTTATAATTTAATTTATTATTTGTTGTATTTGAAAGATCTAAACCTTTGTAGACCTATTTAATTAAAAAGTTGAAATGAAAACTTTTTTGGTGAGTATTTTGGTTCAGTTTAAGAAGATTGGATAATTTTTTGTTATTAATTTATATCTTAAAAAGCAATAGGGTTTTTGCTTTTATAAAAAGAATAAAACCCGGTGTAAAATAATATTCTATTAAATTATTTATGAAAATTAGTTAACGGACCTTTTAATTCAAACAACTAAGACAACTAAATTTAATAGTAATAAATATTAGATGTGGAATACATTACAAAAAGAAAACGATACAAACATCCATTAAAATAAAAGAGAATTAATGTTTCAGTGTTGTGTTCTATCAGTATATACTTACGATTTTAATATAAATGAAATGCAAAAAAAATACATGCAAATTACTTACCAAAATCATTTGAGTTCCACGACTTTTTATAACTAATTTAATAATCTAAGATGGAGTTTTCGCTGTCTATAGCACTTCTTGTTACACATAATTTATTAAATAATGCTATTAGCTCTATATTACACAGTAGATTAACTTCGTACGAATCTATACATACTATACTATATTTTAGTATTACTCGTACATAATTTAATGTCATGTTCGATTAAATTTAGCACCTTAACACGTATGTATAATATTAATTTTCTTTATCAATACCTTTTAGACATATGATGAAAAAAAAAAAAATTTGTGATTCATCTTATGATTAACTTAAGATTTTATAGAGTGACTCATTTTATTAACATAACGCGTTACTGGACGATCCATTTATCCTAACCCACTAAATTATTAGTTACCAATATATGTATTTATTTATGAATTAATAATTACATTTTAGTATCACTTCTTATAGTTAATAGGGACGCTAAATATATTTTTTTTAACGACAATATAAATATTTAAATAGTTCAAAAAAATATAAAATTATAATACATATATTAAAGGTTCAAAATGTAAAGAATAATATCAATTGTTATAAACAATAAGAACAATAGAACCTCTTTTTTTTATTTACTGAACACCCATAGACTATAAATTATATAGAGTGTTCAGTAAGTAAGGAAATGAATTTCTATTGTACTCATTTTTTGTAACGATTTAACCGTTTCCTAACTTACTGAACAACCTGTATATTATAATATAATAGACCTAGTAGGTTGAAACGTATGTTTCCTGACACAGAGTCGCAGGTTCGACTCCCAAAGTGCCAGCGAGATTATTATTGTAATTTTTTCATTAGTGATGCTATGTCTCTGGTACAAGCCGGCCCAAATACCTTACCGTCCATCATTGGCTTAGCCAAGAACCATCTTTGACTCTATAATATACTAGAGAAGGCCAACACCCTCTTTAACATGTTAAGTTTGGAAATAGAAGTATGTAAAACTGATCATTATTATAATAATTATAATATGAATTTCTAAATATTTGATGAATACACCAGATTTTTTCCAGTATAACAATTTATCAAATATTTAAAACTACTTAGTTAACTTTTTATTTGAATAGCAGTTGATATGTAGAGTTGAGATAATTTGTATCAAAAGTTAATTTTGCGTTTTTATGTTCATAAACTTTTATGAATAACCTTGGATTTTTTTTTTACAATTCTTGGTTATTTATTAAATTGTATTTATTTTTATAATTTGTATAAAATTAAAAAATATTTTGAGTTATATTTCCAATATAACAAAAAAATATGCAAAAATCTAAAATAGAATGTTTTAAAAATTACTTTCGTTACCGTGTTTAATCTTAAAAGAATAGCAAGTTATGTAATATTTATTCTTGATAATTATTAATAATTTGTGATACATATTAAATGAAATTTTGGTGTAAATCACATTTTATAATTCTTACATTTAAGATGGTACAAATTTCACTTTTTATATTTATACAGGGATAATTTTGATATAAATTGACTAAAACCATAAAAACAATCTTTTTTATCAATTTTTATCCTGAAGTTTATTTAATTTTTAAGTATATATTATGTGATCATTAAAATTATATTATCGTCTTGAACTATATTTATTTTACAACAGCTATTTATTTTATGTATATTTTCGGATGTCATATTTAAATCTAAATTAAGAGGAAAAAATTTGTTATATTTATTTACAAATTTCTTTTACCCAGAATATAATTTTTACGAAATCGAGCAATCAGTAAACAAGAAAATATATGATGTACGTATACACGTATAATCATTATCTGAATGTAATCATGTTCTAGAGCAAAATTGTTATTATTAGAAATATAGACACAATAATAATAACTATATAAACAAATATAATATAATGTAGCCAACGGCCGTATTATCCAAGATAAATTAACTATAAAAAAATACATATATTACTGTTGCGACATTATTTTTTTTCTAATTAATTTGAAATGGTGTAAAATATTATAACCTTAGTGGACATTATTTTTTAAGATTATGATAAGACACATTTTTGTGATAAATATTTTGGTTATTTTCATTGATATAAAGTTTATTTTAATAAATAAAATTGCAAAAATGTAGAAAAGTTATTTTAAATAAAACTTTAACAGTATCAAGCCAGTGAAAAAAGCTGTATAAAAATGACTATTGTCAGACATAAGTGTTCTTGTTGTTAGTTGATGTTTTCAGGTCCGTTTCATTATCTCTTGTGTGCTGAATACACGAATAATAATTCAGTCAACGAGTTGTTATCACTTCTGAAAGGATAAGAAGGAACAAAGTTGTGATGAACTTCAAGTAAAAATAATAATGAAATTTTACTTCGCTTTTCCATAATTCAATGAAGAATATTACAATGTTAAAATCGAATAACATCATTTTATCCTTTCCATGCACATCTTCCTTAAAAGAATGGATCAAAAATTAATTGGTCACTGAATTCATATTACAAATTGAACGTGATTATGATTACACGTTTCACAAATATATTTAATTATATATTTTCATTAACACAATCTCTGGAGTCACATTTCAGTAGTGATTTTTTTTTATTGTCACTTTTGGGGTTAAATACATTTTTTCTATCATTAGAACATTATCTTTTTATTTTATCGAATTTTCCAAACTAGGTCATACTTAACGTTTCACTCTACAATAATTTATTATACCCAATATAAGAAACTATGAAGGACCGAATATACCAAAACCATTTGCTTTTCTACTTCACAACCATCGAACACACAACCAATGTTTTCAAATAGCAAACTACTATTTTTATTCTATAATACATACCTTAACTTAAGAAATTAAGTAAAAAACGATTTTATATTTTAATTATAAAATATTATTGGTTACCTATGATAAAAATTATTATTATACAAATCAAGTTTATATAACTACAAAATTATTTAAAAAATAAGTTATTTTTATGTAACTTAATCTTATGCAAAATTTAATTTCTTTTGAATTGTGATGGTAATTTGTATTTTATTTCAATCACTGTGAACTAATTTTTTTATTTAAACCTGATGTATTTAATTAAAATATTGATAACTATTGAGTCAAATTATTTGCATTGATAATCACCTATGCAAGTGAATCATGTCATATATATAGAAACTTCGTAGACCTTAATCTTCTCTACTTTATTTTTATTTTATTAATAATCAGGGTTGTTACGTTTTAAACACTGCTTGTTTAAAACAGTGTTTCGGTTTCGATGTGACATTGAAAAGGTATTGATTTTTCGACATTTGTTTTATTAAATATTTTTTCTAGATGTTTTAACATTTTGTCTGGTTTAACAAATCAAGAAAGTAATAAAAATAATTTCAAGAAATTATTTTAAAAGATCCGATTTTTCCGATAAATACAATGGAAACTACTACTAAGTCAAAGAGAAAAATAGCAGCATCTATTATAAAAATTAATATTATGTTCTACAAGACATTTATTTGCCTGATTAAAACTATACATTATTATTTTACTATAATTAAGTCATTAAATATGGTACTCATTGATGGTATTTTTTTTAAATGATATTTTTCAAGTTATTAATATATTTTATACATTAAGTTTAATTGAAAAATTATGCTAATTTAATTAATATTATGAATTGCTAATGTCTTAATATAAACTGATATATTTCTTAATATATATGTTATTACAATAAACGAAAAATTCATTTCAGATTTTTGGTCTGAAATTAATTTTTCGACATTTAATCTACCAAAAAATATTTTCATAAATATTATAGTCAATATTAAAAGGAAAAAAAATATAATAGTAATATACTTAATCTTTATCTTAATCGCATTCTTGCTAATTTATTAACTCAATTTATACAAATTTAAATATTTATGATTCTTTATAATAAATTAGCATTAAATGTGTCTTACTAGTAAAAATGTTACATGTTACATAATTACATGTTTGATAATATTAGTTCAAAATAAACACAATCATCTAGTGCAAATGTCAATGGTTCACATCGATATATATGTAAATTTTTTAGTCAGGAAAAATAAAAACAAAGTTTTGATGAAGCACAAAACATAAAAATCACACTAATTCAACATACAAAAAATTACAATTTTTATTATTTTTCAAACTTAAAAATATACGGCTGTAAATTTTACTCATGTTTTAATTTTGTAGCCTGTGAATCCTTTTATGTAAAATAAACTACATAAGCCCATGAGATTTGGTCGATTGTCTGAATAATTATTGATTATAATGAAAGTTACATTACATACATTCTCCTGTTGTTAAATTTAAAGTAGAATGAAACGTTTATCAAATGATTTATTTATACGACGTGCGTTTCGACTTGTTTACTTTATACATTCGATTTGATATTTTCCTTTATAAGAATTTCAAAATTATTATAGCATGTATATGATAAAAAAGGCATTTACTTTGAATTGAGGGCTTAGTTATCTTTTTACGTAAATAAAAACTTCACTTAAAGTGACTGTCATGCTTACAAGTCACTGTATGTATAAAATATATTGTCAGGCATGTAAAATTTAATCATCTCTTACACTATGTTAGTATGAGATCCATTTTGATGAAAAACATAATTTTTTATGTAAATATAAAGACTATAAATTAAGAGTAGTTCTTATAACTTTTTATTCTATCATACATATGTTAATATTTATAACTAAAATTGATCTAATTTCGAATAATGCATCAAACAATAAAATTATAGAAACAAATCAACTGAAAAATCTTAAATTAACCCAATTAAAATAAATATACTCGTATTAATAGTTAATTAAGACCTTCCCAAGATGTTCATAAAATTTTACTATGATGTGTTTTTTCAGCTCTCGCCGAACGGATTTGTTTCAACGATACGTTAAAAGATTACAAATCATATCTAGTCGAAGACATTACCCTAAAAAATTTCCCTTGTTCCCCGTAAATGGGCGAAATCTTCAAAAAAATTACAAATTTAAAAACTGCTAATTTTCGAAATTTTTTCCATTTTTTTTACTTAAAACTGCCATATTTTAAAAAAAAATGGCCAAATCAATATCATTTTTTTTACAGATGCATAATGTCTTTACCTATCATTTGATATATTTTTTTTATAAATCTGATCCTTTACCTACCCACAGGGGGGGATTCATTATGATAATTTTTTCTCAAAAAATTAACTTTTTCAACTTAATTTTTGAAAGTGTTCCTGAAATACTGACACTTTTATATATACCTTATATTAAAGCTGATGTAATATACTTTATTATGAGAAAAAAGAAATTATGGACTTTATTTTGTTTTCATAGTGAAAACGGACATGAAAGTTAAAAAAAATACGATTTTTTTAAAAAAAATTCATTTTTAACGTTATAACTGGTTGAAAAATTGATGGATCAATACAATTTTTTTATGATAAATACTATTTATATACCTTTTTCATTCGACATACTTTTTTTTTTAAATAAAACCATTTCCTTTTATTTATATATAAATATTACACTTATAAATCATAAAACTTGTAATCAGGATATAAATAGGAAATAGGAGATCATGTAGCTTTTGGAATAATCTACCAATTTTTTAAAATTAAACACTATCTACAGATTTGCATCGAAGCATTTTTTATGATAGTGATTTTAATCACTGTTAGATATCATTATACTTGACCAAAACATGCCACGTCCCCACTGTGCTGGTTTTTTTTTAATTACCATATAAAGCTATTATAGCTTTTTTGAATAATATAAATTAAAGTGCTGTTGCCAATATTTTTTTTTCCCCGAACTTTGCCCGTTGTCTTTAATTGTTGAACACAACACGTATGAACATGGCTAAACCATTCAATTTCCAGACTAATAAAAACTACTCGATAAAAATGTTTTTCGCTTCGTTGTGTTGTAATTTTACTGCTCTAATTTTCTACGTGTACTGTTTTTTTCTTTCAAAGTATACACATTTCAAATAACAAAATTGGAAAACATTATGTTCTTATGATTTTTATGACTATCCTGCAATTTGTTTGTTATTTAGTAGGTTTTTTTTCAATAAGCAGTACATGCTAAAGATCGTCAAAATTGACGCTTTATTGTAATGCATTCTTTATACGTGTAAATAGAAATGTTATTTTTAGAGATTAACGTCACGTCTCATTTCCTAATACCGACTGCTATAATAATTTTAGACATTTTATTAAGTAATTATTAGAACAATGCTTTATTATTTTGTTGTTTAATATTACAAACGTTGTATAAAATCTCACATGACGCATATTTATTTTTTAAGATCACACACTGAATTTAATTAAAATTTCGCGAGAAAAAAATCAGTGAAACATAGTTATTACAGCGTTCAATGTGGACTAAACGTTTATTTAGGATTGAGCTAAGTACATCAACGTACTAATGAATGGATTGTGTCCATGTAGAACACATAATTTTCTAAATGACAAATGTAATCAAAGTATAGTCGGAAGTAAAACGTTAAATTTATTTTTATGTCACAAAAATATGAAATCATAGCACGTAACTTTAGTTTCAAACAATATGTTTCATTTTAATGATATAAATGACATGCTGGAATATATTGTCACTTTAACTTGTTTAGATTATTTATTTATTTCTATTGATGTTTTGAAACATCATTTCAGCAATAAGAAAACTCTGTTAATGGATAATAAATAAAAAGCCCCCCACACTTGGAGAGCATAGTAAATTTTGTTCATATTAAATACGACCAAAATGTCTCATATTAGATTTAAATTTTTATAAAATTAAAACTATAACTATTATGGGTTTTGTAAAAAACAAAACCCATAATTATCATAAAATACTTTCGTTATCGATACTGTTGTTTTCTGTTACCCATATCGCTTATTTATTTCATAAATGAGAATATTGAATTTCAGTGGACAAATATAATCAACAGGGGAAATTTATTATGTGTTTTTTAATTTTTAGTTTATTATAATAGAACAGAATACATTTATTTTACATAAAGTTGAAAAATTAGGTCCAAATCGTGACATATTTTTTAGTAGCAAATAATGTGCCTCATACTTTATTGTGATATTAATTATTCCGAAATAACTGTTATTTTTAATAGGACTGGGATTAAATTTAGCGAGCGTTTAAATAATAAACCATAGTATGTTAAATTCGGCTATGGTTATGAATTAAATTTGATTATACTGATCATAAAAATTCACAATCCGAGTTTTATTACGATGCATTTATCATTTGTGTTATACATCACCTACCATCGGAAAAGTACTGAGCAGAGACAGTTAATTAAATTAATACTAAATATATATATAACGCGTATATATAATTAATTACACCATTAGTTTTATTGTAAGTACATTTTGTACATCTTACATGATACAAATTTGATAGGTGACAATGCTTGTGCATAGAAAAAAATACAGCATGTGAATTTTATAAACTACTGTATAAGATATCCAAAGCCGACGTGTAAATAGAATGACATGAGTTGCACTAAAAAATGAAGTAAATCTCATCGCGGTACATATACTATCTGTGTAAACAACACAATAGTAGAAATTCAAAAACGAAATAGGATTTATTTATGTCACGACAGGCGGAATGAAAATCGAATAATTCCAATTGTGGGAGAAATGCAATACAGATCATTAATATTAATTTCGCTTTATCGTCTTGATTTATCTTCAAGTAATTTGCATTCGATTTGACAGCTCTTGGCTTTTACAACTTACAACTAGAACAATTGGGAATGTAAAAAAGTTGCGAATGAGTTTTAATTTGACTAGTATAATAATAAGATAAGCGGAAAAAAATGTGTCCACTATACAAGTTAACGTCAACATAACTGTATTTTAAAACACATCAAATCCAAAAACATTTTTCATTTTGACAAGCACCAGGTGAACACTAGGTGACATTTCTAAGGCATTATTTATAACGCACAAATATTTATGTTTGTGTTACAGCATTGGATGAACGTTGCGGACAGTGATTTTTTGTTTGTTTTTCATAGGAAATATTTCAATATATTATAATATTATAATGGGAGATATGACTCGTTTTTTTTTAACGTTTTCGATGGTTGGTCGATGTATTTTATAAAGGCCAGTCATCTGTCAATTAATATGTATCGTCTTTACTAGTAAAACCATATTTTTTATATTTTATTGTGGAAAAAGTAAATTCAGTTTTAAAATGTTGATCAAACAATATGAATCTCGCAATGGGCTATTAGTAGAGCAATAAATGAGTAGTGAAATTTCTTATTGTTAGACATAGTGAACGAAGCCGTAGTAAGTTAAACGTAGTATTATAATATCTTTAGTATCTTTGGAAGAAATTGAACATAAATTACTTAACGAATAAAATAGACAACATTGTAGTGTATATCTTTAATAACTAAGCGTTTTGTAATACCAAGCTACTTATTATGTACGCTTTTTTTAAGAAAATATAATAATATTTGAAAATGCCACGAACAGTATTTTTTTCGGTAAATAATCATTAAAATAGTAAGGTAAACTTAGGAAATGCTCTTACACAATATTCAATACTATCATGAGTGACTTATAGCTGGTTTTTATTCGAAGCTATAAATCAATGATTGGGAGATTGAATTTTTCAAATAAAACCAATTTACCCGAAGATCTTGACACAAGTAAGAAATTAATATGCGCCTTGACGTGTACCGGACATAAATTATTAAGCCGTCTAATCTTGTAATAGTAATTTTACCTGTGGCGTTTTTGATTCTATACAGCAGCTTTTTTCTGGAGCCAATGCGCTGCCGTACTTAGAAAGTTTTTTCATATAACTTTTATCATGTCCACAAAATCCGATTGACTCGTGAAATTTAGTAAATTTTGATCACTATGATAATAAAAATGCCGCCACTGCAACAAAAAATAAAACGCGACAAAAAAATATGAACACAATTTATATCAGATTGGAATGGCAATCGAACATTGAAAAATGAAATTATTACAGACGCTTAAATATTGTGCGTAGGTCGTTTGTCGGCCACCTACGGGGGACCGTACCGCGCGGTAGTCAGCGGGTATCTCACGTGCTTCATGAAAGGGACTGTATGCGCCCAACTGGCCGTAGTGGCGTCAGCGCAAAAGCCGGCCGGCACCACAATGCTTTATAACATTTTATTGATACAAACAGCAGACTAACCAATTAATTAAAAACTGATGATGTCGATATATTTCAACTAATATACAGATTATTGTATTTGTATATCATAATTAAAAGTATTACATTTTGTTTTTAATTTTTCCTCGTGCTTTATAAAAAAATTTGATTTACGTTTTTATTGATGTTATTTTGTATTTGGAATTAATAACATTTCATTATAATTTTAAAAATATAAAATTTGTAAATATTCCTTTTTATATCAAAAATATCTTTAAAAATAAATTAAATTATTTACGAATATCTTTAAAAAAAAAATGTACTATTTATAATAGACCCCATTATAGATAAATTTTAATAATAGCACAAATTATTTTTTTTGAGAATACAAACATATTTAATAAAACATTTAAAAATTCAGGTATTATTTTTTATATATTTTTACGTTAAAACATATAACGTATTATTAGGAATCTTATTTTAATTTTAGAAAAATGTCCTTTAAACAATATTAGTGCTATGACTAAAAAATCTGACGAATATACTATTAAATCATGAAAGCTTTATAAAACATCCTGCAAAGTAATTTCCATGTTTGATAAATGAAATACTAAAATCTTTTACAGACTTCAAACAAAAAGCTTAAACTTTATGTAAAGTTTAATAAAGAATTGTGTAAAATTATACTAGCATAATTTGCATAACTGTTATAAATAATTATATACCAGACTAATTAGAAATAAAAATATTACCCACGATAACTAGATTCAGGTTTACCAATTGATTGGTCAGGTACAATTTAAAACATTGCTCCCCTAAAAAAATTGTGCGGATTAGTTAAGAATTAAATATTAATACACAATAAAAAAATTAGTATCCATTACTATCATAACTGTATGGAAATATATGCACAAAGTGATATTTTTATCCTTGAACAGTAAATTTTTTCTAAAATAAAAATATTTAGAATTTGTTTAAATCTTATTTAGTATTATTTATTTATTGATTTATACACTATTAAACATTTACTAGGTCTATCCCATATTCCTTATAATAATATAAATTCATTTTTTTAAAATATACATTTTACTAACTTAAAAAATTATAACAACACGAAAACCGGTCATTTTTTTCACAAAAAAATCATATTTTGTTTAACTAATAGGAGGCTATTAGCATATAGAAGATAAAGTGTTCGGTCAAATATTTATTGATCTTGTGGTATGCAACATAAACTTTAATTTAACATATGTTAAGAGGACGGAATAATTCCGGAACAACTACAATAGTTGTAAAGGTTAACTTGTCATGCAAAAGTTGTTTTATTGGAACCCTGCCGTGGGTAGGATATGTGTCAAATATGTAAAAACATATACATGAAGAAAGGATCATACATTAAGTAATTACAAAAAAATTATTTAATTTTATCCACATTTGACTGTCGAAATTTTACAATTTCAAAAATCATAAATTTTTGAGGGATTTTCCCTATTATTAGAAAATGAAGAAATTTTTTAAACTATTGAGGGTAATATACTTCAACAACTAGATACATTTGTAATTTTCTGGCATATCGTTGAAAAAAATCAATTCAGTAATAGCTGAGAAAAATGGCAACACAAAAAGTAATAATAATAATAATTAACATATTACAGTAAATTTATGGGGAACGAGGGAAATTTTTTCAATTTTGAGGGTAATGTCTTCGACTAGATACGATTTGTGATCTTTTGACGTATCGTTGAAACAAATCGGTCCAGTGAGAGCTGTAAAAAAGTGATAACAGTCACAAAAAACAAATCATCATAGTAAAACCTAAGCTAAAATGATAAAATGATTATTCGATCAAAAATTATAAGAGTTGATAGTTAAGTCTGGTCAACTCTGTAAATATAGGTTGGTTAATTTATCATTAACCACTAGAATTCTCCTAAAATAATTGTAAAATTGAAGATATTTTTTTGCATTGTTAATTAGTATTTATTTATCGATTTAAAAATGTTATCCTAATGAATCACTTTATCATGCTCTTCCAGTACTAGTATAAGAATGTTCATAACTTCAGGAGCATTGGTAGAAATGTTATTTACGACAAGTATTTTTAGCTTCGATGCAAAGCTGAGAGGGTATTAATTTTACTATGATGTGTTTTTTTTTTTATTTTTTATTTTTTTGTGTCTGTGAACGCTCAATCTCAGCTCTCGCTGGACCGATTTTGATGAACAATATGCCAAAAGATCACAAATCGTATCTAGTCGAAGACTTTACCCTCAAAAATTGAAAAAAGTTCCCTCGTTCCCCGTAAATGGGGGAAACCTCCAAAAAAATTACAAATTTAAAAATCGCTAATTTTCGATATTTTTTCATTTTTTTTAGCTTTGATGCGAAGCGGAGAAGGTATTAATTTTACTATGATGTGTGTTTTTTTTTTTTTTTTTTTTTTTTTTTTTTTTGTGTCTGTTACCACTTTTTCTCAGCTCTCACTGGACCGATTTCTTTCAAAAATACGTCAAAAGATCACAAATCGTATCTAGTTGAAGACATTACCCTTAAAAATTGAAAAAAATTCCCTCGTTCCCCGCAAATGGGGGAAATATCCAAAAAAATTACAAATTTAAAAATCGCTAATTTTCGAATTTTTTTCACTTTTCTTTCTTAAAACTTCCATAACTTTTTCAAAAATCAACAAATCAAGATAATTTTTTTTTATACTAAAACCTTAGATATTTACCTTTCATTTGATATCATTTTTTTGAAAATCTATCACTTAACCTGCTCATTGGGGGGGATTTAAAATGGCAACTTTTTTACAAAAATTAATTTTTTCAACTTAATTTTTGAAAATGTTCCGGAAAGACTGCGTCCTTTAAACATATATCAAATTAAAGCTTATTTTATGTACTACAAAATGAAAAAAAAAAATTTGTCCCGACACTTTTTTTTCTACATTTAAACGGCTGCCGTAGTTAAAAAAACACTATTTTTGTGTTAAAATTTTCGATTTTCGATT